AGAGAGAGAGAGAGAGAGAGAGAGAGAGAGAGAGAGAGAGAGATCTGGGATCTGAGCTTGGTGACATTCGGGCCATTGCCCTGTTCTGGTATTCGGGCAAAGACCCACCTTTGGACAATGTGCTGAGATTGGGACTTCGGGAAACTTAGCAGTTATGACATTGACGACTTGGCCTTCTCGCGCCACTCCCCTTCGTCTCCATCTCCCTCCTACTTCGTCTGTGGATGGTCTGGGGACAGCGCCCCTTCTGTGTATGACGCGCTCCCCCCCCATCTCACTAGGTGGTAAATGAACGAGTGAGCATTGTCCATTCCAATCCTGCTGTGTCAGAGTGTATATTGCAGTCTTCCTCTGCGTTCTATTGTCTGTTGCTAGGGTCGCTTCAGAAAAGTCAGACTCTCCGGAACCACCCAATTAGCCCCTTGTGGAGACGACGTTTGACAAAAGCGCCTTGGGCAGTTTAGGCAAATTCAACTACACTTGAATGGATGGTACAAAGTCCTCCAGCTTTTCATACTTGAAGAACTTCCAGCCATCAAAGAAACAAATCCCTACACTATTAGAATCGCTAAGGTAACAAATCTGAAATCCGGGCCGTCGTCGGTCCTACCGGCCCACGGCCCAGACCGACCTAACCATGTAACAAATCTGCGATCTGGGCCGTCGGGTTCTACCAGACCGACGGCCTGGATAGATGCGGTCTTAAGATCTTAGTACCGCGCCGAGATCCAGGCCGTCCGTCCGGATCGACGGCTCAGATAAACGTGCCGTGGAGTGCCGTGGGGTACTACCGGTCAAGTGCCGTCCGGTGCCGCCGTCCGGTGCTACCGGAGTCGAGGGCGCTTCACGACGGCAGGCCAACCCAACTACATCTTAGTGCAGTGCCGCGCGTTTGTACTGTTTCAAAGGGCCGTTTCAGTCCACGACGGTGCTGTGGGTGCCCCAGGCTGCCGCGAAGCATCCGTGCGAAGCGCCTAGGCCAACTTTCGCCGATGTCGCGTGCAGTTTTACTTCGCCCGCGTCCAGTTTTACTTCGCCCCTCTAGCGCGTACGTCGTGAAGCACCCTGCGCGGTGTCGTGGAGCCCTGAGCTCGACACTCTCTCTCTCTCTCTCTCTCTCTCTCTCTCTCTCTCTCTCTCTCTCTCTCTCT